ACCACGCTAGCCAGAAAGAAGCCGAGGCAGGCTCTGGTCCCACAGCCGCTTGTGGAGCCCACCCTGACCCACTGTCCCCGGAGCATCTCTTACCTCTCCCTGAAGCCCACTCCTGATGCAGCTCTCTTCCCTCCGCAGTCTCCCTGGCTCTCCCTTTCCCACTCCCCTTCCCTCTGCGCCACCTCCCCGGCGTGATGTCAGCGCAGCCCTGCCTCCGCAGCCTCCCCATCACACCCCTCCACACCACGCAGCCGCCCATCACACCCCACTGCTGCTTCCCTTCCCAACGGTTGCCACAGCGACAGGAGAGGGAATCCCATCCTCTGGTCCTCCACCTCCCTGGGCCTCGCTTGGTATCACCCACTGCAGCTCTTCCTAAAGAGCCTGGAGACCATGGGAAGGACAAGGTGACACCAGGGAACAGCAGCAGGCAAAGGCCAGCGATGGCCTTGGGGGAATCCGTGGCTCAACATACCTGGAAAGGAAGGGAAGGGAAAGCAGAGGCAGTCACGGGAAGCCAGTTGAGACAAAACAGGCACTCACCTTCTCCGCAGCAGTTACCACCCGTGTCCCCAGTGCTCTTCCCACCCCCTCTGTTCGTTGCTCTCAGCCAGTTCTTTGTTCCTCAGCCCCACGTGCTCTTTCTGTTTCAGGGCTGTGCACACTTATACCATGATCATACACGACTCTCTACAGAGGAGGATTTGTGCTACTTGTCCACCACAGGACTTCTCCTCACTCCCAGGTCAAGGTCAGCGATCAGGTATTGACCAGAAACTTAAGACCAGCTCCAAACCAGACCATCAGGAGTCCGTGGACTCATTATTACTAACCACAAATCCACAGTGAAAGGTTTTTCTGTGATCTCTCTTTCGCAGATGGTTTCATCAGGAAGGGAGAAGGGCAGATATTATATTTTTAGGACCGCAGCACATTTTTAATGGAAAGAGATGGCCCAGGGCTTTTCATCCCTCCCCCCGATCCAAGATGCAGTTTCTTTTCAGCAGAAATACTGCTGCATTAGAGAACAGGTCACTTCCTCTATCAGTGAGAATTCAGTGTCCTATTTGATGCTGGTCCTTGTGCTATAAATAGGAATTTTCCCCTTTTATAGTTGCTGAATAATTATGTGTATGAAATATGAACACAGTTTTCAAAAGAGTGCCTGATAAGCAGCTTGCTGGAGTGAAATCATTGAACAGAAGGAATTTACAGCACCTGCAGAGTATCACATGCTGTGGAAAACATTCAAGGTCAACATGAGAGACAGGTCACAGAACAGATCCAACTACAGAGGACGTGGGCTTGAGCTAGACAGCCTCCCCACAGCAGCCTCCCCCACAGCACCCCAACGATTCATTTCACGCTCCACACTTAGCTAAGGATCAAATGGAAGAAGCCCAGCTCAGAGGAGCCAAGATTTCTCCATCCCACATACTGGAAAGCCAGGAGGAACAGGCAGAACAGGTTTTTAAAACAACAGCAGACAAGTAGTAGAGGACATAATCCCAAACAACGACAAAGAGCATAGTTTAACATCCATCATCAAAAGAAACAAGGGAAGAACACCAAACGCCAGAGAGACACAAGCTTGCCTTCAAAAGAGACAGAATGCTAATGGGAGGTACAAAGAGGTAATAAAACACCAGAGCAGAGAGACCAAATGGCAGAGGAGCAAGAGCACCCAGTTACGCTGAAGAAACCAGTCGTTTCTGGAGGAAATGGGCAGCCTGACCCTTTCTGGTGCCTGTCCACAGCGCTTAAACCAAAGCCCCAAACACAAGCAGGGCTGCAAGGAGGGTACCAAGGGCACTGCCAAAAAACAACCCTCCATCAGCGCATCAGGAACAGCCTTCCTCTGAGACACTTCAGAGAGCCCAGGTCAGGGTCCCTGCGGAGGGGGGACAAAGGGAGGCCAGGAAACGCTCTCCTTTCTTGCATGAGAGATTTTGCCTTGCATAGCTGGAGAGAGGCACTGGTGGAGGGGAAGGGAGGGATGCAACCAGCTACGAAAGGCAGAAAGCAAATAGACAACACAATATGTGCCTTCCAGTTAGGGCAGGAGGAGAGAAGGAAATAACATCAGCTCACTAGTGGTGTGAAGGGAGGGGGAAAAGGCTAGGAATGATATCTGTTAAAAATACCAAAGGAGCTCTGGCCAGAAAGGGTCAGGATACACAGGGGCTCAGTGCTTTCAGTATCATGCATCAAGAAACAGGAGAGAGAAAAGCAGCAAAAGACAACATTGCTATGGTGACAGAAAGCATTGGAATGCACTCAGCAAGGAAAAGAGAGAAAAGGAATTACAAGCCACATTTTCAACTGCACAGAACAACATCCTTGAGATAGGATCAGGCCGAGGATCCACCCAGCTCAATTGTTAGTCAGCTATGCTGTCACCTGCCTCCTCTCATCTTCCACGTTGTCTGCAGGTCAAAGAGGACACAGCAACAGATATAAAATGTACAGGGGTTATTTTATTATTGATTCAGAGGTTAGACAAGGCACCATTTGATCTAAAAAGAAATGAAAAAAAAACCAATTAAGGGTTATTTTTGCAGTCAATTAAGAAAGTCTCTTTTGCATTTCTTCGGAATTGTGTGAATTCCAGCTTGATCAAGATCACACAAAAGCCACCTCATTGCCAAGCAAGGCAGGCTTGCTCTAGAGCTGCAGCCCCTCTGTTCAGCAGCAGAGAAACCTTCAGAAGTCTCTATGCCAGAGTTTAGGAATGCAGCAGAACAAGAAAAACAAAATTTCCAGGAAAAGACCGTGGCTTTTATGCCTTTCCATTTCAGACATGATGAGTCATTTGTTCGTTTTGGTCCTCGCTGACAGGAAGCAGCTTTAGAAAAATCACACCAAACCTTGCAGTGGCCTCAGAGTACTGAGAGCCCATGAGACAAGCCGCCAAAGTCCTGGAGAAGCCTGGAACAGCATCTAGCCCTATCCTCCTAACAGGTCAAGGACCTGCGTCTGATCACTGGCAGAGATGTTTCACTCTGTACAATTGTTTTTGCGTCTCCAAACTGTGATTTCTAAGGAGAAGGCCATCTCCTCTTCACAATCATTCTGCAGAATAAGAAATCCAAACAACCCCCAACCAAATCAGCCCCCAAGCCCCTTGTCTACCACCTCCTTATTCCCCTCCCATCAATTGTAACCCCCTCCCAGCTGCCCTCCCTGCCTCCCCTGCACTCAGGGGAAGGCTGCAATGGGTGATGTAGCAGAGTGTGCAGCATTTGGTGGTCTCTCATCTGGTTCACGGAGTCACTCAGCTGGAATAAATGGGAACAAAGAAAAAAATTGATTTAGGGGGGCGGAAAAAAACCAAAATTAATCATGGTTTATGGCAGAAAAAGGCTGGCGAGCTGGATGCAAAGTGAGCACAAAGGTGAAAAGGAGCGGAGAGTGGAAGAACACATTGTTCTTGCTGGGGAGTAGAAACTTGACCGAATCCAGGAACACCACTCCTGCCGTTACGGCAGCACGCGGGGAGCTGCAGCTCTCCTCTCTGACTCTCTTGAGATGCCAAGACAAAAGCTGCTTCCACTCAAGAACTTCTTTACAGTCATCGAGATGCCGGAGCAGCTCTAACACACTTTCCTCTCCAGTACCCTGGAGCACGGCCGTCCTACGCTAGATGCTATCCTGACCTCCCACCACGCTGACGCCGTGCACTGGGGCTGCCCTTTCACAGGAAACCCAGAGATGATCAACAAGGAACAGCTGTCTGGGGCATCCCAGGGGACTGGAGGCTGCTGACAAAACCAGCACCGTTCACTTTCAAACCCTCTCTCCCTGCAGTCACGTGCTTTCAAGAGCAACTAGTCTACTGCTTTCAGTTCCTGGTGTTATTTCCAGTTTGCTGGAAAGGAAGAGGTTGTTTCCCTGGAAAGGATGTACGAGGAGAAAAAGCAATTTTCAGACAAAAGAGAAATTATCAAGAAAAAGAGCAAGGGATTCCTGAAGATTAGGCATCTGCTCTGGACACACAGCCCACAGGAGTGAGACAGGCCACCTCCTCAAAAGAGGAAGGCACTCGACAACACTAAATCAGTAAACACACATGGAAGGCCAAAGGACAAAGTTTCCGCTGGGCCAATCTGTGTTTATAGCGGGGTCCTCCAGGAAGGGCTGGAATCTCACATGGCCAAAGGTCATCGCCAGCCTTGCAGGGTCACCATATAGCAGCACAACAGCCCTTAGAAGCCGGGGCACTAACCACGCCACACATGGTGTCCTCAACTGGACAGCCCGTTTCTTGATTTGCTCAAGAAACAAGTACATTTCCATGATCTCATCATGAAGGTCGTTGGCTCAAGGGCACATGAATCCAGTGGTTAGTAACACTGTCTCTCAGGCCTAAAAAGAAGTAATTTGTTTTGCAATAAGGCTTTTTTAGACTTTGGGATCAGAAGTTCAGCACATCTTCATCTCCTTGGCCAAAGCCAAGGCAAGAGTGAAGAGAGAAAACCCAAGTCCTTTCCTTGTCCTCAGGAGATCCCAACTTGCCACACACAGTGACTGTTAGACTCTGAGCAGAGACTTCATGTTAAAAAAAAAAAAAAAACAAACCCAAAAAACATCTCACCAATATTTGCTATACTAGGGCTCACAACTGAGGAGAGGCTGAAAACCCCCAGCTCTGTCCCTCCCACAGCTGCTCCCCGGGATGACACACACACAGCCTTTCACATGCTTCCCACAAGCAACCCATTTCCTCCAGCATCACCTATCCAGCACCTTGTGATGGTCACTTCCCCCTCACTGCTCAGTCCTCATCTCCAACCTTCTCCTAGTCCCCTGTGGAGCAGCCAGGAAGAGTTGAAAGCACAGCTCCTTTCAGGGAGCTACAGCTCTAGAATGAAACAAAAGCTTTTTGACCCAAATTGGTGCAAGACCCCATTTCTGGCAGCCGGTGCTCGGGCTTGCGGCGACCTCTAGGGGCCAAATCTCCGGCACCTGCAGACGGACCGACATTCACATATATCGAGATAGAGACCGTTAACAGCTTGTTTAATAGAGAATCAGCACAGCCCCGCCCTGGGCTGCATCGTTGTCTCCCCTCCTCTTCTACTCTGCTTAGCTCGTCACCCTCCCTGGCCCCCAGGAGACAGAGATGGAGAGACAGAGAGAGAAAGAAGGGAGAGCTCCATCCTGGGACAGAGCCCTAAATGAACATAACCAGGTCTTTACATGTTGCTCTCGAGAAGGCTGCCAGGATGCTAGCAAACACCACATCGGGAGACTGGGAGGCATCCACCGCCGTATGGATCCCTTGCTTGCTGTAGTAGGAGACCAGGGGAGAGGTCTGCGTGTGATAGGCCTTCAGGCGGGTTTTCAGGGCTGTTTCGTTATCGTCCGAACGGCGGATCAGGGGCTCTCCAGTGACCTGGGAGAAGCAAGGGGACAGTCTCCAGCTAGCTGCAGCCTGGCACGTTCCCCCCGTCTCTCCACAGCTATGGCAACCCCTGCTCCCCTCCTCCAAGACAGGCTACAACGTGGAGCTGCAGAGGCGATGCCCAGGTCCGCAGGGGAGAGCAGGGAGAGAACCCAGGGCAGCTGAAACAAGTCCCAGAGCAGTCACTGAAGAAAGAAGGATTCAGCATTGTGGTCTTTCCCCCACACACCACTCTGCCTGCTAAAAGGAGCCCAAGGAGCCTCAAGAGCAGACACCAGCTACAGTTGCTGCTGAGGAGGGAAACCAGTCACAGCCCACTGCACCTTCAGCTATGGACAGAGTCCAGTAAGTTCTGAGGCTGGCAGAGCCTGGGCCAGCTCTGCAGAACGGCCATGCCCTTCACTCATCCCTCCAGGCCTCGCTCCCCGCAGTGCTGTCGGCTCAGGCTGCCCAGGCAGTTCCCCACGCTCCCCAGAAAGCCAGGACAGAAGGTAGGAGAGAAGGAAAGAAATGAGTTGTTCCAGGGATGCTGCAAAGCAGCAGCTAAACCCAAAGCCATGTAAGCTGTGGCCTTGAGAGCTCACATACATCGTCCTTCATGTGCTCTTTCGGGGGTCTGAACTCCTCGTGGTAAGAGCGGCCACTCGCTGGGTGAATCAGCCTAAGACAGAAAGCAAGTGTTAGCAAAGTAGCCCGGTGCCAGGACAGGGTCTCCTGAACCTGCCAATCATCAGCACAGAAACATCTGCAATAGCAACCCCATTAGCCTCTCTCTGTCAAGAAAAAGCTCTTCTAGCTATTTCTGTACCAAGGGCCTCTTCAGGCACTGGAAAAAAGCAGCTGCACAGAAATGGAAAAGGGATTTTTACTTTTTGCTTTACTGGGGAAGGGGGCTAGGTCCTGGAGGAGGGAGGGCGACACAGGGCAAAGCAAACAGTGGGAGATGTCTGTGGTCTGTGTGCCTGCACAGGCACAACGGACCCCGGACAGGATGTTCAGCAGTGCCCCAACATGTCCTACGTCAGGGAGCAGTAGTAGCTCCAGAGAAGCACGACATGAAGACATCAGCTGTCAGGCACCAGGCTTAATGGCGGAGCTGGGTCACCGAGGGCGCTGATTCGTATCAGCGACCCTATTTGTAGGGCAGTGAAGGGGCCCCGTTCGAGGCTGGCCCAGGCTCAGGAGCAGGCAAGGGATCAGGGCAGAAGGCAGAAATATAATACAGACCAGCACTGCAGCTAGCCCTAAACACTGTGAGAATTACAAGAGGATCCAAAATTAGGATGCTCTCCCCTAAACTAGGGAACCCCCACCCCATGTACCAAGCGTTTGGGAGAGAAGAATTACCGTCCAGTGATTCTCCGGATGAGCAAGGAGTCAGGGATGCTGAACTCAATGACGGAGTCCAGCTTCTCTCTCCTTTTCTCCAGGAGCTCATCCAGCTGCAACAGAAAACACCCAGCTCAGAGGGGCAGAGGCACGGCCAAGGAATTCTTGCCTCCGGGGAAGGAGATGTCACAGGAGCTCACATACCATTTCGGCCTGCTTCACCGTGCGTGGGAAGCCGTCCAGGAGGAAGCCGTTCTTGCAGGGAGGCGAGTCAAGGTTGTTCTCGATCAGCTCCACCACCATCTCATCGCTCACCTGCGCAGAAGAGAGACAGACACATGATCAGGAGGGACACCCCGATTTTACACGCAGCTGCTGTACTCACGCCAGCGCCCAGGCTGTATCAGACCCTTTTCACAGCTGTTCCTGGTCCCAAAGGCAGTGGGCACAGCGCAGGGCACTGCTGTCAACTGGGCGAAAAGCTACGTGTCCAGACCTGCCCACGTCAGGGAAGCGCTCCCTGCCATGGTGTCAACACCAAGATGTGGCTGATGAGAGGTTCCACACCAGGGACGCTCCAGCCTGCGCAGGAACTTGGACCAGTGCTGTAACCTCACTGGTACAAAGGCTGCTGTATTTCAAGGCAGACCATCAGCTTGAAGACAAACTCCCTAGATTTTATTTTTTTTAAACCAATACAAAATATCAACATAACCTTTACTTCCTGTTACTTTGTACCTTCACCCACACATCCCCCTCAGTAGGCAGGCCTGGCCAGGAAGGGCAAATCAGGTGAGTCACTCATCAACTCTTGTAAACCTTGTATGAAGGTAAATGCTTGTTGCTGACAAGCTCTGGCCTGGCTGGATAGTTTTTCCACATATCATGGTCTCAGCATACTGCTGGGATTAGTGCTTCTACGCTGCAGCGTTTGGAAAGTACTTAACAGATGCTGCAGCTCCAACAAGAGCTGTTTATTTGAGAGCAGCTCTCCTCAGCAGCGCTGTTTTCTCCAGCACACGCAGCTGGGACCCAGCAGGACTGGGGACCAGACTGTCACAGCACACGTAAACAAGAGCCCTGGAATGGGAAGTGTACGAGCGGGAGGCAGTTTGGGTGAAGCAAAGTCACTTCTGTGCTTTCCTGATTACCCCTTTCAGAGGAAGTGGTGCTGCTTGGTAATCAAGCACCCAAGCCCGTCCCGAAAGCTGCTGTGCTCCAGCTGAGCTATCACAGAGCCAAGAACACTGCTGGGATACACCCGCGGTGCAGCCCAGCGCTGGCTGCCACACACACGTGGCAAATACCACCAGCCTTGCCAGATAACGTCCCTATCTTTCATAACCAGCTGGGATACTGCAGGCTCGGTGTTGCAATGCAAGCTTTGAGCGAACGCTGGAGATAAGCCATGTTGTTCTTCCCACCCAGGGCCTTCAGGTTCTCCGTGGGGTGGTAAGAGCTGTGACAGCCAGCAGAGATGCCCAAGACGTGCCCCACGCTGCTTAGCTTTGGGACAAGTCACTGCAACTTGCTGTCCTTCAAGTTTCCTCAAGAGATAATTAAATCCTTGAAAAATAAATGTGTCAGAGATCCTAATTCTTGTCTCTTGGGGCTCCAAAATGCCTTTTTCACGCAGCATTACGCAGCACCCACCGTAACACCCCTAAGTCTATTATTCACCTTACAGTTAGAGGCAGATGGCATTTATGGGACATAGATGAACCCTCTCAACAAAGTCATCTACTCCACAGGGGTCCAGGCATCACAGGAAGAGACACAGGAGCCACAAAGCGTGGCTGTAGCATCCTGCAGCTCCAAGAATAAACCTTCACCTCAAACAGTGTCCAGGAGCCACCACCCACCCAGACTGCACCCTGCGAGCATGAAAGCACTACAGTGGGGAGAACCAACCCAGGGACACAGGCTGCTGGTAAGAGAGGAGCAATTCTGAAGAGCAATGATGTTTTTATAGGATGTTTCTCCTATAGGATAATGGGAAGGAAAACCCTCACCCAGCAATCTCCTCTTCCTCTGCTAACTGGGTTTTGTCAGTGAGGCTTCCAATTAAGAGGTGGATTTTAACTGCTCACATTCCAGGTGCTGCCAGACCATCTCCCCGCTACCCACCAGCTTCCCTGAATCCATCGTCTCTTTGAGCCGCTTGCCCAGCTCGGACCCCGAGGCCACCATGGCCCGCAGCATGTCCCCGGTTGCCAGGTGGCACACGCAGTAGGTCTCAGCCAGCTTCGGAGCCTGCGGGAAAGGACAGACACGAGGTGAGGGCCTCGGGGACTGAGCCCCGGTCGGACCCCCCGTTCGAGCACGGCCCGCCCCAGCGGGGCCGTGTCCCCCCGGCTCGCAGCGGGATGCTCTGCGCCCGGCCAGCACGTGGCAGGGCCTGGCACACAGCCCTCCCGGGTGCTTCGGGAGCGGGGCCAGGGCACCGGAGCCCCGCGGCCGGCTCTA